GCTCCTTCAGTGCTGGTTGCTCTATGAAGATGCGATCAGGGATGCTAAAGAGGTTAGCGTCTGACAAGTCCAAGCGTACCAGCTTCTTCAGCCCAGTGAACGTTCGCGTATGAAGGTAACTGATGTACTCATTGTGCGCCATTTTCAGCTCCACTAAGTTGGAGAGGCCCTGCAGGACAGAGGTTCAGCTGTGACTCGAATATGCAGATTTGAATATGTAGTTTCACACACTGCTGTTCAATTCACAAGACCCCAAACTACAGATACCTTCAGCTGAACGCTACAGATTTAACAGTCCTTGTGTGTGTTACACATCAATAAGACAACATTGCTTCTTCTGCAAAATAGTTTTTTGCAGCACCATTTGCTTGTTTGCAGGATAAAGCATAACAAGTTAAAATACATTTCTGTGAAAAAGCCAAGTGATGCAGATCAGGATTCAAGGATTTCTTAAAGAGGCAGTAGCAAACCTAGCGGTATATAATCATGCAGATAGCTGTTGTTATATTTGCTCAGGTTCAGAGGCAAATGGAGTTTTATTTTTGCAGTTTAAAGCGCTGAAAAGGGTAACATTAAAAATGTGGTAGGAAATACTTTACAGTCACAGCTGTGTATTATCCCGATTAAGCAGGACATTGTTTCTGGGTAAAGCTGTTGTGGTTTTTCAAATGTAATCTTGTGATTGTTTGAGCATTACATTGAGCATAGATATCTTAAAATCCTGACACATAAAACCAAAACTGTCCACAATGCTGGGTGACACTAGGGGTAAGTAAGAAAATGTAGGATGAACCAACCCTTTAACATCAACATTTTTAAATGCTTTTGGTGGATTACGTTTATTAAACATGTTTATGTATTGTTATGTATTTTGAGGCAGCTGCTAAGAATCATTTGTTATTAAAATCTAGAAGTAGTGTATCCTTAACAGAGGTGTCTGCTGTCTGAGAGTTTTTTTCTTAGATCTTAAATAGTTTAATTTTAATAAATCAAATAAAGCATAAGACATGTGGGTCACCATTTTTATAATGACAATGTTTATCCTGCTGCAGGTAACTGCACATTATCCCCCTGGTGTCCATCACAGAAAAGCAAGGGACGTCAACCTTGTCCTTCATGTAATGAAACCTGTCTGTCCCAGGCTATTACACACTGAGAGTGCCGCTCAAGCAACAACAGGTACAATTCTGGACATATTTTCCCCTAAAATCCACCAAATTTTGTTTTTGTCTTTTAAAGGAATAGATTAAAATATAAAACAAATGACTGAAAAGGAACAGACATTACTTGGCTTTTCTTTTTTCAGTACATGTTACTAAAACATGCATTACATTAGGTCTTCATCTCTTCAAGACAACAAAGAGCCAAACTCAGCAAACCTTGAAGGCTCCGGGGGTAATGAAGGAGATGTTGTTGTGGTCCAGAGAGAGGGACTTGAGGGAGGGTAGGGTGCCGAACGCCCTCTCCGACAGGAACTTGAGTTTGTTCTTGTCCAGGTTGATGGCGGAGGCCTCGCAGGGGAACTCTTTGGGCAGCTCAGCCAGGCCGGAGCGGTCGCACAGCACGATGCAGCTCTTCTCCTGCGTGCAGGAGCAGGACGCCGGACAGGCCCGAACACACGCCCACCGGGCCAGCACCGCCTGGGGCAGCAGGCACAGCACAGAGACTAAAAGAAGGACAGAGGGAAGGCACAAATATCAGTCAGTCCCAAATCTTTGCCACAAAGAACCACTGAAAATGTTTTTACTTAAAAAAATCAGGTGTGTGTGCTTTCAATATTGTAAGTTTTTTAAAGAAGCAAACAAAAGAGCATTATGGAAATCTAATTTATTCGCTGTCTTGCAGTTAGATCAGAAGACTGATGTCACTCTCATATCTGTACTCTAAATATTAAGCTACAGCCAGCAGCTGGTTAGCTTAGCTTAGCATAAAGACTGGAAACAGGTGGAAAAAACTAGCCTGGCTCTGTCCAAAGGTAATGAATGAAAGCTCACTGCAAGTTGTTTCTTGTTTATTTAATCTGTACAAAAAAGTGTATAAATGAAAAGTCGTGTGTTTATGTGTTGGACTTTGTCTTGGCCTCGAGCAGTGAGTCTTGTCATCACTGTGAGGTTGCTAAGCTAAGCTAACCAGCTGTTGGCTCGATATTTATAACATTAAGAACTATTCTTTTTTTTTAACTACTCCTGCCCAAGCTGCCAGAGTTTCTACACACACACAAAGGACACAACATCTTCTGCTGACAGTGAACTGGAAGTAAGTCTTTGATTCTAACTCTTTTGTACTTTGAAACGTCAAAATTAAATGAATCTTCTTCCAGACAGCTGACAGCAGGAAGAACACCAGGTGTGTTTAACAATTCAAAATGCTGTGAAAAACGTTTCACTCAGGACCGTATGAAATGATCCAAAGCACTAGAACAGCTACTAAATGGACCTTGCGATGTCAAATGTTTTACTTTAGTTTTTCTCGACATTTTTCCAACAGCCTCCCAGTTTCGACCAAAACGAATTACACATATTCTGCAATGAGATTTGAGCTCCTGAGTCTAGAATTTGTCTTTGTGGTTTTATTGCAGCAGAATTAAGGGACAAAGTTTCTTTAGGAGGGTCGGGTTCGAGTCACAGCACAACTCTTTACGCTATTTGCCTCAATGAAACTTAAAAATCTACAAAACGCATCAGCATCAGTAAATAAAGAAATTAACAGAACATACTTACACCTTCCCAAGTTTAAGGGTCAGTAGATGCAGCTGAACTGGCTGCAGTAGCTGCAACGTATTACTTCGGGGCAACTGTGCCCGTCAAAATGGCGCCCACAAAAAGTTTTTTTTGCCAGCCACTGGCTCGGACTGTTACACCAGGTGTCTGACAACATGGAAAGGATCCCTACGAGGGACTCCCGGCAGTTGCCCTGAAGGAATACATTGCAGCCTGAAGCATCTACTGCAGTGATTCAAAACCTGAGAATAGGGCCCAGGTTTAAAAATACACACATTACCCTTTAAATGCTTGCATTGATTTTTGCAGCAGCACAAGGACACTGCTGGAGTAATGATTTGATGTCTGCGTCACGCTGAACGGCGGGTCGACGGCCGAACTGTCTCTTTGGCAGCTGCTGGTGAAATGATGATGTGATTAAGAAAGAACAGCTTATATCAGAGATTAGCCCCACAACAATAGGTATTGTCT